CTGTTATGCGTATATGTTAACTATCTGTGTAAAGGCATATTTCATGTTGATGCTACGATTATCCCAGCCACACACCCTTGAAATGAGCAGCGCGGGGGTATTTATACTACTGTTAAATGACTCTGATTATGGGTTCATTTCAATAGGTCAGTATAAGATTCTTACAGTACTTTTAACCTAAAGATTTCTTCATGTAAAAGGAATAGCTCTAAGGTAGTAATTTCTGCAGAGTACTGATTATTAAAATAGTATTCGTTATATCGCTAAGGGTGGCCACTGGGCCTTTAAATTTTGATTTCATGTAATATTCTGATGAAAATTGAATAAACATAGAATCTTTATAGAGTTTTCTACACCGCCATTTTGATTGTTAAATTTTCTTATAACGGTTGTTATCGACAGAGCAAGCTTTGCTTGCATACGACAGCGATCCTTAGACACATTATAATGATTGGTATAGAATTGACCACAGTACGAAGGACATTCTACCGCACTGTAGATATCTTACAGTACCTGCTAATCTTAACTTGGTATGCCCATCACCATACATTAGTTATCATAATGTGCTCTGGACCATTAACTAATCTTAATATAGCATAGTACAGTATATTACTATTACTAGGATATATATAATATCGAATGATAATACTATCTGTTAATTTTATTAAGAAATTGACCATAAACGTATATTTGACAGTTTCGCTCACCAACCTTAACATAGCATTAATACCGTATATAGTAACCATCCTTATTCAGTAAACATACTAATACGAAAGTTACTTAACGAAATTTGAATTGGTATAGAAATGAATGATCTCTAGGGTTTATGTAAATATTATTGAGAAGGTAGAAGTGATTGATACACATCAGTAGGTACTATTAGTTCTATTGCTCTCTTACAATTCGTAGTGTTATCCTACTGTAGTTCCCCTGTCCCGATTACTAATATGAAAGTTACTTAACGAAATTTGAATTGGTATAGAAATGAATGATCTCTAGGGTTTATGTAAATATTATTGAGAAGGTATAAGTGATTGATACACATCAGTAGGTACTATTAGTTCTATTGCTCTCTTGCAATTCGTAGTGTTACCCTACTATAGTTCCCCTGTCCCGGTTATTTTTGATTGCTATATATCATATAACAAAAAGTATTTCTAACAGGATAATGTCAGTTAGTCAGCGATCTGATAGGCGAAAGCGAAGTAAACAACGTGGAAATGTACAGTATGAATGAGTGGGTAAGAGTGTTCCACATAGCTAAAAATGGAGAGTTACTGTAAGATTAGAGAAATGCGGTATGTACAGTATATCAGTATATGTCATACACTCTACTACTACACAGTACACGGTATAAAGTTACTGAACCTCTGACAGGTCTACGACAAATGGTAATACTATCTGTTAAATGAGCACATTATCGTAAACCGTCAGCAAAGCGACGGGAGTTTGCACTAGTTAATTATAATAAAGGCATATTTGGGTACTGGTACTCGTTGCAGTATCGAGTTGTAGTACGATTTTTGCCTTAGCTTAATGACTTCGGTATATCATAGTTTTATATAAAGAAAGACTTTCTATTTGATTTAATTTTTGTTATGTAATGCTTTAATGGATTTCTGTACAACTTTGGAGATGATTAAATGATGAATTTGACATTGCGGTCATGATATAAATATAATTATTTATTGAATTAAATACAGTTTTAATATTGGCGATAGTAAATAAAAATTGTTATTATTAATTACAGTGAATAGTATGCTATATGGTACCATAAACTGTACATATTAATGATCAAGTTCTCTTGTATCTCCAATAATTATGATATGATTAACACACCCAAATGATATATTATTCAGGATGTGCGCAATATTAACTGTATAGTTTTACTATACAATATAAAACTATCAGTACAATATCGGATTCGCTATGAAAGTTATTGCAACATAGTATCCGACAGAAAAAGAAAGTGAATTTTAATTTTAAATTTTGAAGAGTTGACTAGTGTACGTACATTACCTCTTTATAAAGTAGATTGGGTACGTTAATTATAGCATATATAATACGTAAACGGGTACAATTTTGTACTATATCACTTATCTGCTTACGATATCGAATATGTGCACATAATATATGCATGTCTATTCGTCTATAAAAGTAATCCAAGAACATCGCTACGCCAGAAAGGAGACATTTCCATTTAGATTGTAATTGAAAATTTCCAAGGATCCAAATTTATAAATTAATTATTTATAGCAGATCTTAGCACGTATGAGTAAATACGGTAGATTTAGATGTAAAATTTATAACCTATCATGGCAAAAATGTAATCTATAAGGCCTATTACAGTAATTTAAGTTTTGTAAGATTGTAGAACTTTGTAAGTCCGAATAGTAGAGATTATATACCGCAACTCCGATGAGACTTTCTAATATAACATACTAGGAAAATTTTCCAAATACAACTGTGGTACAATATATTAGTTTGATGTAAGTTGATGTACAGAGGTGACATAACTGGACTAGCTTTTAGCAGGCGATCGTGAATATTCCAGTGTGGTTGAACGATATTGTATCGAGTAGTTAGCCAGGTATGAAGAACTTTACTTGACATTAGCATTATGCAGACAACATTGGAATGGCCAGATTCTTACTAGAAGTGACCGTGATACGTTGGCAACAGATTTTCTTCAACTGGGCAAAGCTATTTTATTTCTTTTTAAACATTTTTTTCCTATTTTCATAGCGTATTCTGCCTTCTTCGAATAATCGCTTTTCGTAATCACTAGTTAGTATTAATGATGGAACTTTATCATTCTTTTGTAATACCACAAAATTATAAAAGGCGCTACTAGCTACATATCGATTACTGTTATTAGCCCAGATATCTTCTGCGATAACTTGAACCTGAACTTCCATCGATTTTGTGGAAGTAAAGGTCAGCCTTCCTATAGCAGTTATAAGATTGCCCATTTTTACTGGCTTCAGAAAATCGATATCATTAATGGAAGCCGTTGCAATAGTACCTTTGGTATGCCTAATACAT